GGGGATTGAACTCAGGCCCTTGCACTTGCCAGGGAAGCGCTTATTCCACTGAGCCATCTCCCCGGCCCCTATCATCATTTTTGACAGCAAAAAGTTCTTATATATTCACCCATTGACAGGCACCTGGGCTGATTCCACACCTTAGATATGCCATGATGAACACAAGTATGAAGGTATCTAGCTAGCTCGTGTCCCCAACACATGGGCCATGGGGCAGTACTGGTCCATCGCCTGTTAGGAACCAGGCAGCACAAAAGGAGACGAGTCGTGGACACGTGAGCAGAAGTTGGATCTGTATCTATAGTCACTCCCCATCACTTGCATTACTGTCTGAGAGCTCAGCCTCCCATCAGATCAGTAGCAGCATTAGATTCTCATAGGATCATGAAGACTACAGTGAACTGTACATGTGAGGGATTGAGGCTGCATGCTCCTTAGGAGACTCTACTGCCTGATGATCTGAGGTAGAGCTGAGGCAGTAGTGCTAGCACAGAGGAATGTACCCACTGCATATCTCAAACATACATTAATTTTAGAAAGAAATCTAAGTCCCCAGGCCCCTGCCCTCTATCCATGGAAATACCTTTCACAGAACCAGTCCCTGGTGGCTCATGGGCTAGGACCATTTCCCTACAGCATACTGGCTTTAGTTCTTTGGGATATACAGCAAGGAGTAATGTTTAAGACTTACAGAAACAATACAATGGCATTAAGAAGAGAGTATGATCCATGAGGAGATTTATTTTGTTATTTCAGAGTAAAGTTTGGATGGGAAGCAAACTAACTTCCCAATTCTCTGAAATAAAACACACATAGGGCTGATGAGATAGCTCAGCAGACTAAGCACCTGCTTAGACAAACATAGGGACCAGGGTTTAATCCCCAGCACTATATGCTGTGCCAGTCCCACTCCTGGGTACACTGAGCTAGCCACCAAGACTGGGCATGGTGGCGCAGGCCTGTAATCCCAGTGCTAGAGAGGCTGAAAACAGGAAGATCACTACAAGTCCGAGGTGCATAGTGAGACCCTGTACCAAATACATAAAATAAATAAATAAATGAAAATAAAACATGCAGCAGAGACTCTCTTAAACATCCCCAAGGCAGAGGATACCCCCTTCCTCTCAGGAAAATACCCTGCCACCAGCTAATCTAGTGAAACACCTCTGCACCAAGAATTGCCATGCTGTCAGTCTATGGACGGTCCCTTTAGTTTGTTCCCAATATTCATGGCTACTATACTTACAATCAACTTATTGAATTTAATTGAATATTAAGAAAAACTATGAACTATGTATATGGGTTGAGAGCTAGCTGGATGAAAACACACACACACACACACACACACACACACACACACATTAGGGAAGACAAGATACTGAAAAACACATTTCTGGCAAATTAGGTGTGGGTGAGACAACTATAAAAGATGTGGGAGGAACACAGACTACAGGAATTCTATATTCAGATTGCTTTGTGAGTGTCTAAGTTTTCTCTTCATCTTAAAGAAACAGAAATTGAAAGTGACAGATATACATTATGAATGTGCCTTATAAAAGAAAGAAGATGTGGAACTCCAATCAGCAGACCCATATTCAAAGAAAAGGCCTGGCCCTACATCAAAAGAATGGCAAATGAATGTACATTTATCCATCTTAAGTTAAACTGAAATGTTTGAGGTATGTATCATTTTTTGATTCCCTGCTTTAACCTACTTTTAAGATTAACCAATCATGTCAGATACAAGGCTCTCTAATGGCTCTCCCCAAACAGACCCTAATTTAAACATTACATTTGCTTTGATTTTTCTCCTGCAGGCTTTGAGCCTATAAAGACGTGGGTTCTGGTCACGCATCCACTGGCTACACACTCTAGACAAGGTCACCCCACATCCAGCCTTAATTATGAGATCTATGATCCTGGAACAACAATCCCTGACCCATCTGTCACCCGGCAGTGAGGTGAGGTGCTCCTCAGGAGGTGGGGAGCAGGGACAAGCCTTGCATCCCCACCTGGCCAGCTCCTACTCCCCTGTCCACAGCCAGCACAGCTCTCACCTCCTCCAGGGTGTTTTGCCTGCCATCCTTTCCCACCACTTCACCGTCACAATGACTGCAATAACCAGACATTTATTTGCCTGCATCAATAAGTGGCTTCTGGGCCAGCCAGATAGCTCAGTGGACTAAAGCACCTGCTTACGCAGAGTGCAGAGGCTGGGGTTCGATCCCCCACATGCCATGCTTGCTCCACCCCTGGGGTGCACTGAGAGGGCAATACAGACTGGGCATGGTGGTTGCACGCCTGTAATCTCAGTGCTTGGGAGGCTGAAAACAGGAGAATCACTACAATTCTGATCTACATAGTAAGACCCTGTATATCCTGTAGACCCCATACTAAATTCATTTTTAAAAACTAACATAAGTGCCCTCTGATCACCATGCCTGGCACAGAGCAGGTGCCATGACAGCACGCATCAACTGGCGGGCTCATCTGCATTGCCACTTTCCCAACACCCTGCACACGGCCTGCCTAGCACCTGAACTGAGAAACTCCAATTACTTATGTCTGCTGTTTCACTGGATTCCAGTCTTCGTTTTTACAGAAAAATACTACAATAAAAACAGTAAGCACTCCAAAGGCCAGCTCTGGCACATCCTCACTGGGCCATTTAATTCCCTAGAGTTTTAGCTCCAACTTTTGCATCAAATAAAAATAGCAATATATTAAAAACTAATAATAAAATAAAAGGCATAAGGACAACTCAAATGTCCTCCCCATTTGTTAATTAAAAAGAAGAACACCCAACTCCCTAAGCTGCAATGCAGGCAAATGCGAGGCTGAGTGCAAGCAGGAGTCCCAGGCAGTCCACCCGAGTGCAGCTGGTGCTGAGCGCGGAGCCGCAAGCCCCACTCCCGAGAGGCCCAGCGCTCTCCACCAGCGTGCAGCTGACTTCTAGGGGAGGACTTTTGGCCTGTTTCCTTTCCTTAATGAGACAAATGTTTCCAACAGCAGAAGAAACTGGATCATGACCCCTCGTGACCCCTCGGTAACCAGCCTAGCAACAGTTAGCAGAAGACCAAACTGGTTTCTTCCACGCCACTGCTCAGCTTTTCTCTGAGATAATTTTAAAACTAATCCTAGACACCAATCATGCCTTTTTATCCATAAACCATTTCAGCACATATCTCTAAGGGAAAAAAATTAAAACCCCCAAATACTATTAGCATATCTAAGAAATGAAACAATTCCTTAATCCAGGCTGAGCATCCTTAACCAGAAAGTCCAAAATTCAAATGCTCTAAACTCTGAGAATTTTTGAGCCACAAATTTTGGATTTCAGATCTGCAGGGCAGAGATGTACAAGCTGTGCTCAAAGTCTGAGAAACAAAACCCAAAAAATATTTGCTTGGTCGAAGCAATTCAAATAGTGGGCGCTCGATCTGTGTCAGCTAATGTGGAGTCAGGGGATGTATTTTCCTGATTGTTTTATAATTTTAATTTTTTTTTGCTTCATCTTATCCTAATTTAATAGAAAAAACAATGAAGTCAATGATACAAAATTTGAAAACAAGATAGGAGCAACAATGATTACTGCATTGCTAACTGTCATCTTCAAAGTAGTTGCTCAGATTGTGAGACACAAGCATGAAAATATTGATCAAATGATATAAGCACAAAACTCTGTATTCAAGAATAGAAAGCAGTAGTATAGCTATCTTAACTATCATACATACTTTATATACATTTTTTCTCCCATTTTCTCCTTTCCCCCACCCCAGTTTCACTTTTCTTATAAACAGTTTCGTAACACTTCCCAGTATGTATTTTGGATGTTATTACTCTATCAGCTTCTTTCACAAGGGAAACAATGTAATATTTAAACATGTGAGATTGAGTTATTTCATTTATGAATATGGCAAGTTGCATTTATTTATCTATATAAGTTTGTTTCAAGTTTATCTTTTTTTTTTTTAGTGATTGATGATGTAGAGTGTGCCTAAGGAGAATCACATGGAGAGAAAACATTCGCTCAGGCTTTCACAAAGAGCAAATTGGTCAAGCAATGGCCGTGACTCATCCACAAGGCTGGCACTGACAAAGGATCTACAGACTGTGGTACAGGGTTTCAGGGTAAGCCCTGAGGGGATTTGACTGACCTTTTCAGATACAGAAGTTACATTTCTTGTTATATAGGTCTTGCTTTATCTTGGTCTTAACCATCCAGCAGGAAAGTATAAAATCGAGGTATAAAAAGTAAAGCCATATTAATATGCTGATCTATAAAAGGCTCAAGTCAACAACTTCTGACATTGCCAGGCCTACGGATAACCCACTACCATTATGGACTACTGGACTATACTGGAATATTTCGCTGAATTCACACTTCTATGATATTTAAATGACAATGGAATACTCTTCTCTGAAAAAGAAAACGGGGATACAGATGAAGGACCATGTATCTGTATATTCAAAATAGTTAGGATAAATATACAGCTACATTCTCTTAATTCAATGAATAGAAAGATTTGTTCTAATAGTGTTTGTAGACAGGATATCATGTCTGCATCTTGTACAATGAATAACCACTAAGACAACAATATGCAATGTATTAATTATTGAATTGTCCATATATATATAATATAATTTTAATTTTTTAAAACAATTGGTTTGCTGGTTTGATTCTCAGGATCCAACTAAGATCCACATTTTGCATTTATGATCTCTTAAACTTCTTCTAACCCAGAGAGGGACTGAAAATACAGGCTGCTGGGCAACTCCTACAATGGCTGGTTCAGTTGGCCTGGGGGCAGTTTTAGCATTGTGACAAGTTTTGAGGTAGCAATTTCCAGGGCTCACACTTTTGGGCGCCACTGTTCATCTATAGGTCCCCTCCACCTTGCCTTTTCCCCTTGCTACCATGAGACAATAGGTTCTGAGCTCATATTGTACACTTCCTGTCCATGCCTGGGAAATGTTACAGGCAGCCAGAATGTCTGCGTCTCCTACAGCTAAGATGGAATAAGCGTGGTGGGTCAGAAGAAAGGAAAACCCCTGAATCCCTGCATCCTGCCTCACACTGGTCTCCTGCTCAATGCCACCATCAGCTTTTCCTGTGCAAGGAATAGTTATCAACTTCCTTGAGTTTGATGCACCCTTCCCAGGATCCCAAGAAGGAAGCTTGGGACAGGCTCCTCACTAGGACATTCAGAGCATAAGGGCCACCTCTCTGGCCAGGTCTGAGAGATGTCAAAAGAGGTGTCAGGTCCGGGGAGATGGCTCATTGGAATAAGCGCTTCCCTGAGTTCAATCCCCGGTTCCACCAAAAAAAAAAAAAAAAAAAAAAAAAAAAAGAGGTGTCACTGAATGGGGAATGACACAGAGCTCCAGCTTCCCTTCTGCCTTCCCACTGGGCTTTGGGTTGCATTTATAGGAGAGACAAATTTAGGAGGACACACCCATCAGGCTACCAAGCAGAGAAATCTAACTTCCTGCCCCTGCATACTGCTCTAGCAGGCTCCCTGATTAGCCAGACTGAGTTCACACCTGGTCACCACACATGAGAACACCAACAGATAAACAACAGGGCAGTGCTCTGCCTGCCTGGCTCTTACTCTGGACCTGTGGCACTCCTACGTAGCTAAAACAGACATGAACAAGGTTCCCTAAAACCCGATGACAGCTATCAGAGGGTCCAGGCAAAGGATCCTATGGTGACAGTGACAATGACTGTGAGTAGAGAGCAGGAGCTGCTGCCAGCTCCACAACCCTGACCAGGTGCCTCGACTCAAGCCTCAGTATCCCCGGGTGTGCAGTGTGGACAGAACCCTACTCACTGAAGCACACTGGGAATGGGGCATCCGTGCTAGGACCGCAAGTCAAGCTCTCAGGCTGCTGGGGGCCAGAGAAGAACACAACCAAGTTGCAACTTCAAGCTGCTCCCCACTCCCCGACACATACCCACACTGAAGGCATACCAGCTATGGGCCAGCCTGGACCGGGCACAGAGGGCATCGCAGCACAGGCTCTGCTGAAGCATGTGCCACCACCTACCTGCCCACAGTGGAGGGGGCACTGGCCATCTGTCGGGAGGGAGACTCTCCAGAGGAGCTTCAGTGACCTCGAGGTCTCTTCCAGGATCTGCCTGGCTGCGCTCAAGCTGGAGACAAACTTGCTCAGAGATGCTGAGTCTGGGTCCTACCAAGAGGAAAGGGGCCATTTAATGAAGTGCTGAAAGAGATTCTGCACGAGCAGAGTCTAATTGATGCAGGGCTTGCGTTGCACATGCTAAGCAAGAGCCTGGTGCGACACAACACCAATTAATTGTTCTTAAAGACTGGTGAACTGTAGCATGTGAGAGAAGTCAGGGTGAGTTCAGATGAATTAATAACCGCCATTAGTAATCACCAGCCTTAACTCTCATCACTACTACACCATGAACAGGATCCACACTAGAGCCACCCGCACCACGCCACAGCCCACCGAGTCCCTCCAGAGAGCATGAGGCCGACAGCAAGGGGAACAGTGGGGATGCTTCTGTCACATGATGCCAAGCCTCATAAAGTCTCCCTCACCGTCTCTGCTAGTACAAGCAAACTCTGGGTGGGGATGGCAAGGGCACTGGGACACCGACCACACCTCCTGGAAGGGCAGCGGCAGAGCAAAGAATGGAAATTCAAAGAGCATCTGTCTTCTCAAGTAAGAAATACGGAATCACACCCCCCTTTCAGATATCAAATTGACATAAAATCATAAATAAAAATATTCAATAAAGACAAAGGTATAGTGAGATAAATGCCCATGAAAAGAGAACTTTTGGGAAAGTAATGTGGCAAGAGCCCTAAAAGGTTCACAACCCTTGAACCAGCAGTTGCTCTTCATACCTTATCAAGAGTATGGTCAGAGATCTATGTACAGGGAGGCTCATGACAGTTTACACATCCAACAAGCCGTGCAAGCGTGAGTAATGATGGGGCCTCCATATGCCAGCTTATTAGCAGCTACTGAAAGTCAAGTGCTACAAAAACATGGAATGAAATAGGGGAAGTGCTAAAACTTGTCACTTCAAATATGTGAAATCTGTACATTCATGAGTAGGTTTGGTAAAGTTCTGAATATCCTAAATTTTAAGTGCTAACCTCTAAGAGGCATTTAAATACATTGTATTTTTAAAATGTTATAAAATTTCCAGCTTTTAGAGGGCCGGCCAAATAGCTGAGTGGACTAAAGCACCTGCTCAGGCAGAGCGCAGTAGCCAGGTTCGATTCCCAACTTGCTATGCCGGCCCTGCACCTGGGGTGCACTCAGAAGGCAATGAGACTGGACCTGGTGGCACACACCTTTCATCTCTTGGGAAGCTGAAAACAGGAGAATCACTACGAGTCAGATCTACGTAGTGAGACCCTTTAGACCCAGTACTAAATACATAATTAATAAATAAAATAAAATAAAATTTCTTTTTTTTTTTTTAAATAAAATTTCTAGCTTTCATATGATAAAGATTTTAACCACAAAAGAACAAGACCTTATTAGTATGTATTAACTTACCAAACATCATCTTGTAGCATCTAGGCTAGGTAGTAGCCACACAACACTGAGCAGAATAGAACTACCCCTGCTTTCCTAAGGCTTATTATCTGATGGGATATGAAATGCAAAATTGCTTTTAACAATATAGTAAAACAAAACAAAAAGTCAAAACCTGTACCAGACAGTAGGGGTCTCAAATATCCTCCATAAGAAGGTCTGAGAAGAGGGGCCACAACCCATGACTCAGAAGTCAGAGGGTTGGTCCAGTCTGGGTTGGCAGTGGATGCGACCCAGGCCTCGAAGGAAGTGGACAAGGTATACGCCAACTGCAAGAGTCCTCAATAAAAGGAAGCTTAGAGAAGAAAGATTCCATTGTGCTAGGCAGGGCAAAGGGGGAGCCAAACAGTCTGAAGGAGACCCCAAGCCAGCGGGAATAGGGAGCCAGGGCTGTAGACGGGACACAGGAAGCAATTATATTCAGCAGCACATACCCGGCCTGCGCACAGCAGGACACATGGGGGACAGGAGCTGTTACAGATGGAGGAGGCAGGCAGAGCCAGACCAGAAGCCTGAGCCCCTCGGAATCACTGCCCAGGTGAATGTGGTGGCTTCTGTGCGACCTGTGAGCTGGAAGCAGTGTCACAACACACAGAGAGCCTCGGAGGACAGAGACTGAATTTGAATGTGACTGCTCTGAGCCACTGCTCAGCATCTCTAAGTCAGAACCATCACTCGGTTCATCAGCTTGTTCTGAGCAAGACGTAAAATATCATACAAAAAGCTGCTCTGGTAAGAGTTTGAGCCGCCCTGATCTTGAGGGGAGGTGGTATATTTCCTACAAGAAAGCTCATCCCAAGGCAGCTGTGGAAATTATGGTACAATACAGATGGATGTGGTATGGGTATGGTGTGGTCAGGTGTGGTGTGACAAGTGTGGTTAACATGGTATAGTGTAGTATGGTTCAGGGGGGTTCAGTATGGTGTAGTGTGGTGCGGTGTGGTGCAGTGCAGTGCGGTATGGTGTAGTGTGGTGTGACAAGTGTGGTTAACATGGTATAGTGCAGTATGGTTTAAGACTGTACAGTACGGTGTGGTGCAGTGCAGTGTGGTGCGGTGTGGTGTGGTATGATGTGATGTGACGTGCTTCTCACATTAGCCACAGTGCATGAGCACACAGCCTAGCTGGCAGTGGACAGGTGGACTGGACAGATGAATGGCTAGACATACAGAAGGGCAAATGGACAGAAGGACAGGTTAGAGTCTAGAGACAGCGGCACTCACAGGAGCAGTACAGCAGATGCCTGTGGAGTGGCCACAGTAACATGGCACAAACCTCACCACACTGTTCCCCCACAAGCACCAACAAACCTTTCCCCACAGTGGAACTGACCTCTGAGTATCCTGGGCCACATTCCTGCTGCCTCTTTTAAAGCTTTTACTGAGGACAAACGGACCACTTGTCTCTCAGCCAAGCCCTCCCACTTTCTGCCCTTGCAAAGCCTCACTCGTCCAGGCTTTCTTGGTCTGGCTACCTTTGTCCCCAGCTCTGGACTTGGGCTGGGAGCCTCGTGGGTCTGAATGTCCATCTCAGCGAGGAGCCTCTGGCCCTGGCAGACCTGCTTCCACATGGCATCATAGTCCTCAAATAGGCCTAGGACGTGGCGGCCACTCTTGCTGGCCCACAGGCGGGGGCCAGTGCCCAAGTGGGGCAGGCACGAGGTAGTGGTTGCCGAGCTGCTACTCTCACAGGAGAGAGAGGCCACATCATATCCAGAGACTGGAGGAATTTCTGAAGCTGCAAAACAAGAGGCAAAATATCAGATCAATTTAGAAGCAGCACCCTGAGTTCACAGAGCTTATAGTGCTGAAGCCAGAAGAGGGTCAAAGGAGGCCCTGGCGCCCGTGTGCTACCCAGCATAAGTGCCAAGGGGAAGAGCCTGGTTCCTGGGCCTCTGACCACACCACCCACACCAGGCTGATTATGCATCCTGCAGGAGAGCAGAAGCTCAAGTCAATTCACCCAGTGCTCACTGACCACCCACTCTGCAGAAGACCCCAGAGGCATGAGATGAGTCAGGCCAGTCCACACTGCAGCAGCCTAGGGTCTAATCAGAAAAAGGACACCGTAGGAGCCACAGTGTGGTAGTGATCAGCAGATCCCAGACAGAAATGGTCCCTTGAGCAGGGAGGGAAAGGTTGGAGAAGGCTTCCCAGAACCATCCACAAGTGGGCTCTCTGCCAGCACTACCCTAGGCAGAGGTAAACACCTGTTGCTGTTTGCCTTTGGACCCAGAGAAGTTTGGATAACTAATTCTGACTGGGGCAGCAAGAAAGGCTTCCCAGAGAAGTCAGCGTTCAGGGTGGGTCTTGAGTAGTAGCGTTACCACCACTGGGAGGAGGATGAAAGTCACAGCGAGGGGAAAGCGCAGCCTTGTGCAGGATGCTGACCCACCCGTCTACCCAAGGAGGAGAAGGCGGGGCAGGCCCATCGGGGCTGCACCCGGGGGCCCTGCAAAGGCACAGGAAGGTGGCCACACTCGAAAGCAACACAAGCCCAATGAAGCTGCTGAGGTGGGTGATGCTTTGAAATGGGAGACCATCTGCTAGACATGCTGAGACTCTGACCCCAAAAGCCCTGCCAAATTCTCAGGGGGGACCAGAAGAGCCCTTGGCTTCCATTTAAAAAGTTCTACTGCCATAACTAACACTGCCACAGTTACCCAGGCCTCAGCTTGTACCTGAATTTGGTGTTGCTCTCTGGGCAGAATCAAACAGATCACACGAATTATCAATTCCCATGAAATATTTGTCACCATCTACAAAATGCAAAGCAAGAGAAGGAACCTATTAGTTTTATTATTATGAGCTAGAGAAAAACAGAATGAAACGACGACCAAGAATCTCACACACATATAGACATTCACCTATTCCGACACATAAGCATCAATTCAAATCTTCCATGGGCATCGGTCCTGCCAGGCCCTCTGCAATACACCAGAAGTGGAATGACCAGGCCCAGTGTCTTGCCTGGAAGAACTAGCTCACCCAACAGGTAAACAGAGGGAAGTGAGGAAGCTGTAGGCCCTCAGCCTCATCAGGTAGAGAGGTGCTGGCTCCAACGCAGCTTCCTGAAGGCTAACACTTACAGTACTGTTTGTGAATGACCCAGGAGAAAGAGGGGAAAAAACGCCAGGCAGAGGAAGAACCAGGTGCATAGGCACAGAGGTGTGGACAGTCACTCAGGAAGAAATCAGTTCCTCTGGCCAAAGCCCAGGTACCAGGGAAAGACAGCAGGGTGCTACACCAGAATTGCAAGGACCGTGGGACTCAAAGGCATTACGTTTACTGAGACCTGGGTCTGGACTGGAAAAATGAGTGTGCGGCCTGCTGCAGTGAGCTGAGCAGGAGAGGAAACTGACCCACAGCAGGCTCAGGGGCCTGCAGGTGCAACACTGCAAGGAGATACAATCCATTAGGCACTGTATGGCTGACCTGTGCAAGGCTCTAAACCGTGAAAGCACATTCACATCTGAAAAGCTACTGAATTCTCAATGATGCAGAGGGCAAAACAATACTGTAATTCAGATTTTAGGGAGGCAGCTCCAGAGGCAGAGCCAAGAAGCGTCCACCCAACCTGACTGAGCACATCTGTGGCACAGCAAGAACACAGTCCGGGTCTTAAGATGCTCTAGCCAAGCTTCTATCCATGCCCCTCTAGGGGATGGGCTGACGTATTCAGTGCAGGCCAATGGTGCGCTGTAGCTCCTGGGATCAAGGGGCCAAGGGGCAAAGAGGCTGGCACCCTGGCCAGCTTCTGAGGAGAATCATTTTCAACTACAGACTGAAGTCTTTAAAATGTAACTGTACACAGCTGCACGTAAGCACGGCTCTCAGACGTGTGACTGAGCAAGACACGGGATCAGAGAGGCCCTCTGCTACGGGCAGGAGCATAGGCTGGGATGCTCATGGCCAGCACAGAGCAGTTGCCTCTGGGCAAATTCCAGAAGCAGGAAAAGGCAGTGCAATGGCTCCGCACTGCAGCTAACCCAGTTTTCCCTCTAGGCACCTAACCAAGGAATGGTTCTCCTGCTTCTGTCTCCTCTAGCCACCCTTAGCCACCAACAGGCACATTCTCCTCCAAGCCCTGAAAAGGACTGGGGTGACCCGTATTTTAAGCAGTCTTGGCCATGCTGATAAAGTCATGGAAAAGATGCCCCCTCTGAACACTGCTGATGTAGTGACTGCTTAAAAGGCTGATTTTATCCTAAGAATACTGCTTAACAGAAAAAAAAAAAAAAAGCATATTAACATTGATGCTTCTTAGAAGTCCAAATCAGAGATCACTTTAACAATCAACAAGGTAGTGATTTGGTAACTGGCAATAAACTGCAAACATTCATTAGGAAGCCCATGAAAACGCACAGAACATTCATGGAATGATAAATTGGGTAAAACGAAAGGAAGGACACAGAAGCCCCATAACCAAGTGGGCCAATACAAAGTCAAGCTGTTTATAATTAATGAAAAAAGAGATATACGCAAAGGTAAAAGGTATATGATCATTATGTAGACTAATGAAGGGTTTTTTTTCCCTTTACTTTTTTCATATAGCTGTATCATCTTTGTGGTAAAAATTTTTAAATCTTTATCAAAGAGAAAACAAGGAATCAATCAGTGCAAGTTGCAAAGCAGACTGATCTGGTGCTTCTTAGATTTGTATTTTTTTTTCAAAGTTTTATTGATAAACAGATAGCAATGAGACAGTTTCAAATCTAATCGGAAGTACAGTTTCAACAAATAATACACTGCATATATTCTTCTTAGTGGTTAATTGCTGTACAAGATGCGGACTTGTGATCCTATTTACAAACACCATTAGAACAAATCATTCTATTCATTAAGAGAATGCAACTATATATCTATCCCAACCACTTTGAATACACAGATACAAAATGGACATTCATAGGCATACCCCATTTTTTCTAAGTTCTGTTATTGAATATTATAGGTGTGCAAACTCAGCAAAATATTCTAAAAGAGTCCAGTAGCCCATAATAGCATTGGGTCTTCTGTTTAACTGGCAATGTCAGAAATTATTGACCTGAGTCCCCCACAGCTCAACTTAACAGCATGGCTTTATTTCCTATATTTCGTCTTCATACTTTTCTACTGGATGGTTAAGACCAAGGTAAAGCAGGACCTATGCAACAAGAGTTGTAGCTTTTTGGTCTGAGAAGGTCAGTGAAATGCCCTCAGGATTTATCCTGAGATCCTGTACCTCAGATTGTAGAACCTTTGTCAGTGCAGCCATGTGGATGAGTCACGGCCATTGCTTGGCCAATGTGCTCTCTGTGAAAGCTTGAGAGAGTGTCTTCTCCCCATGTGACTCTCCTTAGGCACACTCTACATCATCGATCTCTTTCCTCTTTGGCCCCATAATCTTCTTGATCAGAAAATTTGGGACACTACCAAGGTACATGACGTTACAGTACAGGTTCTCATATGTCCTGAGTCTTAATTGACCTTAGAAGACTAGGGCCAAAATGTTGGCTTTCCTTGTAGCCCTCCTTTTCTCTAATTTTGGTCTGCAAACTTAGGTTGTTAACCATCTAGAAGACAAGCTTATTGTTATTATCAAACAATTTAGGCTATCAAGCTTAACCTCACTATATCACTGCATTTCAAACATCTTAGGCATAATAAGGAACAGGTATTTTTCATCAAGTATTGATATGTTGAACTTTAAGTACCTACATAATATGATAAAAAACATTTAAAAATTAGATTATATTTTAAAAATAGGATAAAGAATTCTATACTTCTCATGTTTGCACAAAAGTCCAAAAATTAGATTTGTATTTTTAAATTAGAAGCAATAGGGGCTTCTAATGATGCAGAGGGAAAAACAATACTATAATTCAGATTTCAGGGAGGCAGCTGAAGAGGCAGAGACAAGAAGTGTCCACCCAGCCTAACTGAGCACGTCTGTGGCAGAGCAAGAACACTGCCCAGGTCTTAAGACACTCTAGCCAAGCATCTAGAGGGGGTGTGACTCAGCAGTAGAGTGCTGGTCCAGCATGTGCAAGTCCCTAGGTCTGATCTCCAGTTCTGCAAATCAATTAATCGAAGACAACAGACTTAATCCCAATCCAAGTAAAGGCAAGTACAAGTTTGTACAACACTGTCTAGACGAGGGCCACTCCTCGACCTGCAGGACAAACACACTCACCACACCATGGCATTGGGATGGCATCCCTAAGACACTGAGGCTACGGAGGTCGGCACGGATCAGAAGACTGCACTTGGAGCTGAAATGGTGTCTAGTCCCAGCTCTGCCACCTGCCTGCAGGGCCACTTTGGGCAAGCCCCATCCACTCGCTGAGATTCGATTCCTTCATCCACATAGCAAAGAGTATGGCCCAGCCCACTGAGCTGAGCCTGACCTCTCGATGTTCCTTCTAGGTCCTAGCGGGTGAGTGGCAGGGGTGTCTCATTTTTCCACTGCTCCCCTCACAGCCCCTGCAGGGTTAGCAAAGCCTGAAAGCAAATGCAAATGCAAAACAGAGCCACTGTTCTCACAGAGCAGCTTTCTAGATCTCACAAGATGCTAAAAGCCAAGAGGAACAGGTACTATTTTAAAAGCAGTAAGAGCACTGAAAAGGCTTTTGAGCCTCAGGGTGACAGTGATGTGGGCAGAACTAAATGAATGAGGCCAAGCAAGGCCGGCGGCAGCAAGGCAGCTGGACATTGCAATCCTACACCTAGTAAACCAAGCTCCCACACAGACCACGCCAGCCTGCCAGCTATGCCAGTGTGACCACTCACTAGGGCCAGGTCCCTGTCTCTGACGGTACAGAGCACCTGCTGTCAATGGGAGGGCACCTCCACAGGGCAGAAGCGTCACCTAGAAGCTCACACATCACACACAGACACATGGAACTTAATTCTCAGAAAGCGTGGAGAGGCAGCAGCCATACCGTGTTGGTCTACAGGAAGGGACCACTCGGGGACGGGCAGGGCCTGGGCTGGCAGAGTGAAGGCTCCTTCCCGGGCCTTCTCAGCCCCCTGGGCCAGCTGCTCTTCCAGCTTGCTCCGAAGGGTGCTGTTGGTCTCGATGCTCCTTTCCAGCTGTGCTCGCAAAGCCTTGATCTCCATCAGGAGCCCGTGCAGGTCACTGCCGTGCTCCTGCCCCCTGCAGCCTGCTCCCAACGCCTCTGCCCTGTCCTCTGTGGATGTATGCAAAGGGAAGCTGTGACATTGTCCCTGGGCAACTGGACAGCCATCAAGGGAGCGCAATGGTATTTTCAAACCACCATCACCACCCACCTCCTCCTTCCTAAGAACTAGGTACAATTTAAAATAACAACTCGACTTTAAAAACAAAAATATTGGCTGACTTAATTGCTGCTATTCCACAGGCTAAATAAGAGCTGGAAATTAATTTTCACTTCTGGCCATAAAAGCCTAGCAAATTGCACACCAAACCCTGAAATTATGTCTAGTAGTAATAAAATCTATTTGGGCTGGAATTATAGAATGAAAGGGGGTGATTTTAACAGCCACAGTGTATTAAAAAGGCACAACAGCAAGAATAAGAGAAGCAACTTGAGGAGAAATGAAAGCTGCGACACGACCCCTTTCTAGATAAACTTTCAATAGAGAGAAACCATCTGGAAAATTAGTTTTTAAAAAACCCTCACTACACCTCAAAATTGATTCTGAAACATTAGACCTTAGAGTTGAGCCACTGCAATCTGGTATCTCACCGGAACCATTGAGGACCAGGGCCAACCACTGTCCCAGAGCAGTGTCCAGCACATGAGAGGTGCTCCACACACACTCCATGGGTGAATGGGCAGAGAAATACATACTAGCAGGAAAATTATGAATGTTATCTCCTGAATGCCAACTGTATGCCAGGTACTGGCACAGGATGTTAACAGCTGACCTCAATCAACTTTTACAACAACTCTGCATGGTGGATGTTAGCAGATATGTTTAGAGGTAGAAACAGGCCCGAAGGTGAAGCAATGGGCTAAGGCCTACAGGGCTGGGATCCAAGGAGGGAGGTGACAGAAGGAAGCTGTCCTGCCCCCTGACTCCAGTCCTTCACTGCCCACTGCTGTTTAGGAAAAATGGCCAGGTTGGGGTGGAAAGGAGCTCAGGGGTAGAATGCTAGCCAAGCACGTGCAGGAACTAGGTTTGATCCCAAGCACAGAAAAAAAAAAAGAGTGGACCAAAGGGCAGCATGGGTCTGTGGGAGCCCCTGCCCTCACTCCCCCACCGGCAGTCCAGGCAAGCTCACAGCCCCGGAGCCCTCGCCCCACAGCACCCAGTACCTTGCTGCTGCCTCCTGTGCTCCTCGGCCAGCTTCTCATACATCTTCAGCTCCACTCGGAGGGACTGCAGCAGCTTGTCATTCTGTGACAGCAGCTGCTGCTTCAACTTCACCTCCTCCTGCACCCTGCAGTGGCGACAGCATGGGAGGAGAGGCCACTTCTACCTAGGGCAACTCACTCAGACCCCACAGTGCAGGCCTGTGCCTCCTCAGCCAGAAGAGTGTGGACAAAATGGGACAAGCTGAGCGAAAACTCCCCACAGCCACTATTTCCCAAGTGCCCCATGCTCGGCCCTCTCATCATCTTCCACAGACACGGAAAAGGCAGGTGCTTTCTGACCTTCCACTCAGAGATGTGGGGAGCAGAGCTCCTAAGTGCCGTCCCTGCCCCAGGAGCGCACGGCTCTGGAAGCCCAGCACAGTCTGACAGAAACACAGAGGCCCTGCTACGTCCCGCACACCCTGGGCACCAAGGCTCAGGACAGGACCTCTGAGGGAGTGTGGCACTCATGAGAGGAACTGAAAACACGCTCTGCAAGGCAGAGTTGAGGGGAAGCTGCAAGAAACCCAGCAGAACCAGCCTCTTCAGAGCTACAGCAGGCAAATGTCACTGTTCTGCTCAGATTCTCCCAGTCCCTCCGACGCCACTCAGAGCAAATGCCAAGGGGGGCCTAGTGGGTGACAGCATCCAGCCGCCTCCCTGCCCTCGCCCCACCACAGCCCTATCCTCCAGCTGTTCTGACCTCCTCACTCAGCCCTGGCCACTCTGCCTCAGGGCCACGCTCCTGTGAAAACCACCTTCCCTGGCGCTGCTAACACTCATCCCCCTGGGGCCCTAGTAAGACACCAAAAGCCACGCCCCACCCTCTCCTCTCTCAGATTGTCTTTCCCTGCCTCCTTCCTGCCCACCAGACCTAAGTGTCTTTGCTTTTGCTTGGCACTAGGGCAGGGCTCCAGTGTCCCTGGGACTGGCGGCAGGTGGCGGAGCACGCAGGCTGCGCCCACCTGCCCAGCTCCTGGCGGCTGCTGTGGACCTCCTGGAGCAGCTGCTGGTTGCATCTCTCCCTCTCACTGACTTCCTTCTGCAGCCTCTCGTTGTCCTCCTTCACACTGGCAAACTCTTGCTGAAGGTGCTCCAGACTTGCGGCCTTCCTGGAGATGGACTCCCGCAATTTTTCATTCTCTTTCTGTTTATCTACACACACCAAAAAGCACCAGTGAGAAGGATGTCATTTGTTTTTTCCAGCCTTATTACACAGATACAGCACTTCAGCTCAAGCACTCCAAGAATACAAAAAAGAATGAGATTTAATCTGGCGTTTATGGTTTTGGCATTCCAATTATCTTACGCATTCTGGGCAGATAAATCTGTCAACATCAAAGCTGTAGATTAAACGTCACTGGGATAAAATGGGCCTATTTAATTTTCTATTAAATAATGGGCCTTACAAACCTGGTTAATTTTGGCTTCGCAGAGCACAGTAGATAGAAACTTCTGGCAGAGGCTGGAGACAGGGCCCAGACTCTGGCAGTGCAGGTAGAGAGACCAGAGCCACCAACAGCCTCCTGCCAGCTCAGCAGGGCCTGGCACAAGGTGTCTGAGGTCATCGCCTCTCAGAGCAATAAAGTACTTCCAGAGGCCAAGCGGCCTAGAGCAGGCTGCAGGAGGGAGGCAGAGCAGAGTGCTAAAACTTGGGTGCTGCTCCTGCATTCACTGCCACCTTGACCTCTGTTTCTCTCTCCCTCCTGCTTACTTTTCCACACAGCTATGTCAAGGTGAAGGCTCACACAGGACCTCATAAGCGCATGGGGGCAGTGGGCTGCCAAGAGCTGTGCTGGAGGTGGTACCAGCCACCACATCCCAGCACTAACCACAGGCACTGCGTGAAGACCTCCATGCACGCCTCTTAACCCCCACAGCAAACTCTGAGGCAGAAACTGATTCTCCTCATCTTTCCAATAGGACACTGAGGATGGCAAGGTTAACACTGCCCTGTGGTCACACAGCCAGTAAGCAGCCAAGAGAATTTCTACACAAGCTCAGACTCCACATGTCTCCCAGACTGCAGACCTTCCAAGATGCACATCATTCCCAATGAGCCATTTAAAGGCCTTGGCCCTTCTGAACCTGAGAGGCCCTGGGTAATCCCTCCACACCCTTCTGGACTCAGTTGCTGGAGATGTTTCTCGGGCACCATGATGCCTTTGCCCGTGTCCTACCGCATCCTGACCTGCCTTTACCATGGCCAACCCTCATGCTCCTATGGTCCGGCTGTGCCTCCCATCAGGCCATGAGCCCCAGGGGAAGGGAACAAGACTCTTCATTTTTGGTGAAGAGTCTACATAGGTCCTGACACCGAATGGGAGAACAGGGAGTGTTGCTGAAGGAGTGAATGACTTGCAGAGGCTCTAATTTTATCTCCTAAGTCAATATCAGCATCAATAGCCTCTAGGGGAAGCGGTATAAGCTGGTTGAAGTTCTACCTCCACCACTCTCTAGTCCTGAGGCCACACAGCCATGCAGCTCCCCAGGCCTCAGGTTCTGACCCAGAGAAGAGAGTTAATAACACCTCATGCAAGAAGCACTTTAAGTACTGAAAGATATTATACGTGAAAGCTCTTCAGGAGCTAAGCTCTAAACAGAGGGAATTAAGAGAAGGGATTTTTTTGAAGGACCACTGGATAAACTTCACTGGGTGAGATGGCAGTAATATATTCTCAGCCCCTCTCTTTTCCACTGTGAACCAGGATGAGTGCAAGGTGGCTGGAGGGGGATGGAGGTGAATGTCAAGTAAACAGAGAGCCTGGCAGAGATGCTTCTGAGGGCTTTACTCCTTTAACTGTCATAACAGCACCATGAGATGCTCCTTAAGCTCTCCGAACCCCAGATTCTCAGCTACAAAACAAGAATGATTCAAAAGGCTGTGGTGACAATTAAATGGGGTGAAGCTGTCACCGAGCCATGGGACTGGAACCTCCCTCGGTCAGATTCTTTGCTGGGCATGGAGGCTTTGGGGCCCACACTGCAGGGGGCTCCTGTCATTCTTACCTTGAGACCCCTTCACTAGCATCGTGTTCAGCTCCTGGTTCTGCTTCCTCAGGAAATGTATCTCTGATGTCAAAGAATTATGCAGCTCTGACCCATATGCAAAAGTGTTGGCAGAAGCTACAAAAACACACACAAACAGGATGGAACCTCCTAAAAAACCATTTTAACAACAAGGAAATGAAACATGCAATGGAAATCACTCTGTGAACTATGTACGAGACTGCCAGAGACCAAAGGGAAAAAAAGTGGGTTTAAAAGAGAAGGCAAGAGGGGTCTTCTCATATCTTACCTGCCCTGAAGATGAACAAAGCAGAGACCTAGGACAGAGTGACATGGTGGGAGACACAACCTCACTGCCAGCTGCCTGCAAGGTCTCGCCCTGTGGTAACTCAGTCCCCTCCAAACCATTCTCTCTCCCTTGTCCCCTGCCTCAGATGGTGCCATCAGCATCATCCCTAACCCAAGCCAGCAACTGAGACCAATCAAGCCATCCTAAACTCCTCTCTGTCCCACTGCCCAATCCTGACAGCTGATTCTTCCTCCAAAATGCCTTGGACCCGGGCCAACTCTTCCCTGAGGTTCAGGCTTTAACACTGTGCTCCAAACCTCCTTCCTACTTACTCTACCAATGGGATTGTTATCGTAGACACAATTCTTTTTTGTGTTATCATCTACTCAAAAATATGGGCTAGCCCAAAAGAAAATGGAATAAACTAAATGTAAGGCCGCACTTCTCAGTGTAGAATCTGGGCTTCTCTATGGTTAGCTCCAACTCTGGCAAACCCCACTCCATCTTCCTTCACGCCCCACTGCCTGGGCCCTGTCTGCCCATGTGGCCACAGTCCTTTCTGATGCTGCAGAATGAGATGCTCTGTTGTGCAGAATAGCCCCAACCACTCTTTCAACTATTGGTTTACATTCACTGCTTGTAAGTGGGCACTGTAAAGATTAGTCTAAAGCTAGACAAACTGGGTTGGAGGTCACATTCTCACCCATAAATACCTCACCAAGCTCTTGTCTGCCTGCTGAACTCTCATCCTTCCTCCAAATCCAGCTCAGATGACACCTCCTGCTGGACAGCTCTCTAGCTCCACACCACCCACACTGTTCTAGTGTTCACAGTCACAGCTGCCACCTCTGTGCAGCAGGCAGAAATTCCCCTTCCAGCTTCCATAAGAGAATGCTCCCCATACAACAGCCAGGCTGCCAGGCCCCGTTCTCCTTGCCACCCTGCAGTAAGAACATGTCAGAGGGCTCTTCAGGCCACCAAGACCCAAAGGGCAGCCTGCTGCAGGCCTCAGGGAAAGACTTTGCACCCACAAAAACAAAAGAAGCCTAGCCATTTCCTCCCCATGTTTTGGACACCTCCTACAGAGGACACAGAAGGCTGATAATTATTACAGTCATCATGGATACCAAGCCCAAACAAATCCTATTGTCGCTGAGTCATAAAACCTGCCTCCTGACTCCTTGCTTCTAGAGTTCTTGATATGTAAGAAAACATGGAACTTCTTGCTTATATCAATTATCTAAGGCTGAGAGCATTCTTCTATACAACCAACTACCTGCAATGTTCAAGCTCCTTCTAGACAAACTATGGCAATTTTTGCAAAAGTTCCCCTTCTTCTCAGCTACAGCCCAACCTTTTTCACCTGCTAGTGGTTTGCTGCTTATCTAATGTCATTTAATTTTTAAAATTCATAAATGTGTCTCTCTACCATCTTCATTCACTTTTCTCTATCAGAGACCCCACGGTTGAAGTATGACTCCAGTTACTCAATAGCTATAATACCTCAGGGTAGTCACATAACTTAACTCAATAAAAATTACCCACATAACATTTGCTCCTGCTATAACTATTTGTACTAATATTACCATTCATGACAGACAGAGCTAAAAGAGGACCAAAGAATCATCTATCTGTATGAGTAGGGAAAATTCTATAAACACTAAGTAGTCACTTTTCTTTTCTCTTCAAACCCAGATTCTTTTTTTTTTGGTTTGTTTCTTTTTTTCTTCCATAATTTTATTGAGAGATATATAGAAATGAGACAGTTTCAAATCAAACTGGTAGGGCACTTTCAATAAATAATACATTGCATACACTTTTCCTAGTGGTTATTTGCTGTACAAGATGCAGACATGATATCCCATTTACAAACACTATTAGAACAAATCCTCTATTCATTAAGAGAATATAAATATCTATCCTAACCATTTTGAATACACAGATACAAAATGGACATTCATCTGTATCCCCTTTTTTATTTAGTTCTGTCATTTGAATATTATAGGCGTGTTCACTCAGCAAAATATTCTAATAGCATCCAGTAGTCCATAACAGTATTGGATCTTCTGCTTCACTGGCAGTGTCTGAAATTGTTGACCTGAGTCCTCTACAGCTCAACATAATAGCATGGATTTACTTCTTATACTTCGTTTTTATACTTTTCCGCTGGATGGTTAAGACCAAGATAAAGCAAGACCTATTCAACAAGAATGGTGGCTTTTGGATCTGATAAGGTCAGTGAAATCCTCTCAGGATTTATCCTGAGATCCTGTACCTCACATTGTAGATCCTTTGTTAGTGTCAGCCTTGTGGATGAGTCACGGCCATTGCTTGGCCAATGTGCTCTCTGAGAAAG